TTTTCTTTGTACATATAACTGGTATTTGTATTACACTACCATGGTTATAGCAGAATGTAAACTCACAAATAATGATATAAAGTCCAGAACGAGTGAATTGAATTATGGCTTAATCATAATCATGACTTCTTCTAACAATCTGTCCTCAAAGATACTAATAAGCTTCGCATTATTGACAGCAATCACATTGGAATTAGTCGGATCGTTTGTACCTGAAATCATACATACTAGACTAAACACTACGTCCGTAAGCGACAGCAATTTGGAATATGACTTAAGTTATTCCTTATGGACACGAAAAATTTGTGATCGACTTGTAATATGTGTCAATTTCCACCAATGTCAACACGAGGATATCAACAACGGGTTACCAACAATTCCGGTTTGTGAAACCAGTGTGTATTTCCCTGCTGATTCTGATGGAATAGCTGGTGCTCTAGTATGGGGAAAGAGGATACAGATGCCGAGCGTACTGCTAGGAGTCATTGGTTTCATCCTTTATGAATACAGCGTCTTCATGTTTGTGGACTGCCCTTACAAAAATAGAAGTACTGTGAAACGATTTGCCTGTTTATTTTCTGTGATTGCTGGAGTAGGTTCTTGGATATGTGCTTTGATTTTCAGCTCGTGGACTCTGAAATCAGACCAATATCAATTGGGGTGGGCTCTTGCTTTTCCCATCATTGGAGGAGTACTTCAGTTTGTTTGTTCGTGGTGTGGATGGTACTCTGACAGACAAATCAACCATGAAAAATATATTGATACACCTGTACAGAAAGTAAAAACTCCGAGAAAAGTACGTTTTGAAGATGAGCCAAGCCTCCGTTCCGAAACTGAATTATTACCTTTTGAAATAATTTAGAATTATACTTCTAGTGTATTTAAATCTTTGTTTGTAGTTCCATTAAAAATAATATATTGAAATTTGTTTTTTTTTAAATGAAAATCTAAGAGATTAACGATTCCCCAATCATATTGACTTTTTTGTAGTCTGAAATACAATGATTAAAGTATAGTTACATCCCTTTAATGGTAGCCTATCTAATTAAGAGAGTTAAATAAATACGGACGGGGTCATGAAGTGCTCAATACGGGACAATATGAGAGGGCAGTGGCATTAGTATATCTATATCTTTTCGATCACGAAAACATAATAAGCAAATGAACTGATGTCTGTGTTTAGTTGCTGCAGTAAATTGCTGGAAGCCATAACAAATCCCTCCACAGTCAGAGATTGAAATAGGTAAGTAAAACAAATAGCATAAGTTATTTTACAGACCAAACACATACCGACATTGACAGTCGTAATAGTAGATGCCCGGTTCGAATGGCAATAGTCTAAATACGAAATATTTCAGTTCTGTTTTAGACCGATAATGGACAAGCTAGGTAGTCCAAACATCTCGGATATGTCACCATATATCTAACGATCTGAACGAAACCCGGAATCCAAAACAACAATTTGATCTGGATATAGCGTCCACATTTTGTCATCCATTTCGCCACATTCCCCGTTGTTACGATGCCGTATAGATGGATAAGTACCCTTTTTTATTTATATCAGAACGGAAGATTTGGATATTAATGAAGTGAATTTGAACGCTGCATTAATATACTCGTTATTAAAAACAACTTGACATCATTTGACTTTTAAATAATAGTTATATTTATCATTGACATTTCAAACGATAACATCAACATTGTATATTATACTATTACTCTGTACTACTTTCTGAAGCTAATATGGTTGAATTGGATTAGTATGTAAAATAGAGATTTCGCTGATTTTCTGTCTTTTAACCAAAGCATTGCAATAAGATTGAAGGGAATATAGCCATTGCAGCGATCTGAACCCCACTCGACAGATGAAGCGACCTTTTCGCCTGAATACATGTTACCCCTACAGTTTCAATTGTCGGTAGCGAGGTAATTAAAGCTTACACTTCCATGCCCACTGTTGATTTCCGTTTTTATACCAGGAATTCGCTGAAACATGTTTTTGTTGCAATAGAAGGGCAATAATAATGGTACCTTAGCCCTAAAATATATCTTGCTGTTCTACAAAATATTTCTTATTAATTCACTTCACTTAAGCATTTTGTACATTTTTGAAAATAGAAATGACGCAATATTCATTTATTGATCCAACTATAAAACAAAAAGATAATATACCATGTGATATATTGTCATATTGATGATAAAGAAAATTCCCAGTCAGTTATATCAATATATGATTCAAAAATAATAGGTATGTCTGGAATGTAATGAGTTTTATTATTTCAGGTATCACGAGGATGTGAACCCATCGTTTCTCCGAGGCATGATAAATATATTACACGGGTGGATCCAATAATTGGTTGATGATAAAGAAGTTCACTGAAAACTTTTTTAGTTGTGGTTAGTTCCTTGGTTCTCTGGAACTAGAACAGTGTCCTTGTTTTGATCGAGAATACTTTGTTAGTTGTGGTTAGTTCCTTGGTTCTCTGGAACTAGAACAGTGTGCTTGATTTGATCGAGAATACTAGAACAGTGTCCTTGTTTTGATCGAGAATACTATTCTCGATCAAAACAAGAACACTGTTCTAGTTCCAGAGAACCAAGGAACTAACCACAGAAAATGTTAAGCTTTAGTGCTACCATACTATGACCAGAATAAGATATCCGACCGAAAATGTTTTCAAATTATCACCAACTGATTTTTCTTGTTTTGGTTTCAGATTGGCTTTAAAATTCCCAGAGTCAAGAAAGTTAAGTTTCTAATGGCGATTTATATTTTCTTCTGAATTTGCAATGGAAATTTAGAATTTTCATTTTGAACTAATAAATAAAATTTGCCTAGTGTTTTATGCTTAAATTAGACTACCATCCATAAAAGTATCCTGTTTAATTAAGACAGGTGTTACATGAGATAGATTACTCAATATATAATATAAACAATAAGAGTCGTGTCATATCGTCCCGATAGTCAGTAACAATGAATTGTTCGTGTCTACCTCATATATTTATCATTAATCTGAAATTTCCACGTGCGCATGCCTCTTATTAGCAAGATAGAGTGGTCGTTGACGAATTGACTCATTCGCAGGACAAAAATACACAAGCAAGGAGAACAACTTAAGTTCATAAGGATCCTGCCAATTTGCTGTTCCTTATTCGAGATCACAAAACAAAACACCCAAACGAGATAAGAAGCCATGACCATCATTGTTCAATGTGACCAAACAAAATAAACATTGTAATCCAATTAGCTTTTGCCCGTCCACACAAACAAAATATGGATCAGGGTTTCTATCAAGAATATCAACACTGTTTTGGGATAACCCCTATATATTTACTATGTATACTTGTTATATTAAACTATACTTATTATCATAGTTACTTTTTGTGTTAATATTTTATTCAATAAAATATTCAGATACATGTTTACATCATGGAAAGGATTGGGGAACAGGCTTCACCCTGTGGTTCCCCTCTTCAACTATTATGTAACTATATAAAATTAACTCAAATTAGAAATAAACATGTGTACATTATGAACAACTTGCTCCACACATTGCCTCACGTTATAAATATACAGAAAGAATTGGAAGTTGAGGTAAAAGAAGCTATCGTATCCTTTGTCCTGTCTGCTCCATATTTGAAAGGATGATTTGCCCTCTTTTGGGTTATGAATAATATAACACTGGCCCAATGATTCTTTGTTTGCTGAAATAAAGAACAGGTGTTAGAGGTGTATTATTCAACATCATGTCATGTTATACCCCAGAACAAGTCGTGTCATACCGCTCTCCTTATTAATTTTATTGATTATTCTAATGAATATTTACCAACGGTGACTTCTCATAAGACCCGTTCTAATGAGAAGAGGCTCTTCATTATGAAACACGACACTCTCTCGATTCGTGGACATCTATACTTTTTAAATAGTTTTCAACCTTTCTGCCAGGTAAATGAACTAATGCATTTACACTTCATTTCCACTTGGCCAATATTGAGGACTTTCTAATCCTTCGCCTAAACGCCTTTTATGAAATGGTCATTTCTCATTAAGTGTGAAAAAACGTAAATGGCTATCATAAAAACACAAGGTTTTTCATATACTTTACTTCCATAATGAAAACCCACATTCTCCGATATGATCTCGACTCATTCTTATTAACCTTTCACATAAACCTTTGGTTTTAAAATTACTACGTAAACTCAACTTCATTCACGAGATCATGAGGACATATAAACCTGGCATCTACAACAAAACTTGAGCCTACATCTGAGCGAAGACATCGATTATCTTAAATCTCTTAAAGAAGTGAAGCTATTCAACCCATGTTTTGTATCACAGCAAACAAGAGCATCCATTGAACGTTGGACCAGCATTGCCCACAAATATTTCTGTTTATTTTATAAAAATGAGATAAGGAGATTCATTTTTTATAATTTTTTCAATACCTCCAAAATCCATTTACACATCATAAGTTTCGAAAAATAGGCCTTCAACTTTGTGGAATAGATCAATGCAATTAAATAGAATACTTCTTTAAGTCTATTTACGGAAATCCTCAAGGAAGCCTTTCGTTAAAATGTAGATCCTGAATTAACAGTGATGGCCTCGTTACCTTCGATTGAATTATATTAATTCCGGAATTAAATCCCATATTGTCTGAAAGAAAATGATTAAAGACCAACCCGTCATCTATTTGTCATTGTTATTAATTCATTTCTAATTCTTTATTCTGACCTAATCCTAAGTAACTCTTTCAAAATCACTTTAACAATGACAAGAGGCTGAGTCTGATTCAAGAGAGAAAGTAGAAGGAGAACACAATACATTACTGTGACTGGATAATCACGACCAACGCGCGCTTTCCACTAGATTGTTTGCTGCAGACGGCGTGTGATTCAATCTGCGTTCGACTGCTGTTTCTATAATAACTTACGTTAACTCGCATTTCGATCAGTTTTACTAAGTTCTTCGGTGGAAACCATTATATTGTGAAATTAAAATGGCTTTCTCCTATTCGGAAAAAATATGTTTGAGTGCCTTCTGTTTATTTGTGATCCTGGTACAAATTTCCAGTGGATGTTCCCCGATTCCTGGAGACGGGATTGATAAAATTGAGAAAAAGTTTTATTATTCGGATTTAGTAGTTTATGGCAAAGTTTTAGCTCATTTTGAGGAGGATAAACCTATGTATGACTCTGTATACACTGCCTTGATGGAAGTCTATTGTACCTTCAAAGGAAATCCAGTACCTCAGAAAATCAACATTAGCGAAGCCGGTAAGTAACATCTTTGAAACGACATCTTATATTACTTAATTCTGAACACATTCCACGAAAATGAACAGGGCTTCGAGCTTGTTAAGGTTGCTGTTACCGACAAGCTGTCAAAGAATTAAATACCGTATTAGGCAGCTTCATAGAAATTCGTAGAGCATTACACATGATGTCACTGGATGCTAGGGTCATCAATTGGACGTCGGAAAAGACTCATAATTATTACCATAAGCCTTTATTTGGTATTAATCTAGTCAGACGGAATTCAGACTCGGTGAATAATATAAATATTTCATATAGTATACATGTATACACTATTGATTTATTGAACACAATAGAAATCAATATAACACGACTTCTTTTTTTATTTGAATTACTAAGTCTGTGGTTTACAGACGGTCTTTTCAAAATAAAACGATGTTCTATACAATTCTTTGAATCCTTAATCAGCCGGTATCAACGATTGTGGAAACACGATACACTCGTTGCTTTATCATGCAATGTAGAAACACATGTCGTAAACCACACTGAAGGACACATTATTTAACAATAACAATCTGTGGATAGGATGATAGACGTCTCTTGAGTCTTACATACTGCCATGTGCTTTATAATTTAAACATGGTCTACCAGTACGTAATTGCCTCCTTACTACACGTACTTGAAAAGCTTGAATATTCCTGATCCACATTGCAATCATTTGCATTTCTCTTTAGCTTGCATTGAAACTATGCATTATGTTTTAATAATCATTCATGCAAATGCGATTACCAATATCATCTGCTCACCATATTAATTTTCGAACTTCGAATATTAGCATATTATTAAGTGAAAATGAAAGATGTGGGGTGTGGTAACTCTGAAACCATTCTCTAATGGAAAATTGCATGACATGCCCTTGCCTTCGTCAACTCCATAAATTGAAGAACAGTTGGACGTAACGCCTGAGTTATTAAGTTGGCAAGTGAAGAATGTAAAACAAATGTATGCAATCTGAAGTTTGAGAGTATGCAATACATGTAAAGATAGCCGTATTAATGCCGGCACTTTCCTTCCTAGATAACCTTTTCTGACTGATTCTGTTAAATCTATTCCACTTTACATTCTACAGCTATTTATAGACTACGAGATTAGCCAATAAAAATATGAATGTTTCATATCCTGTGTATACACTGTTTGGCTTCTCGAACTTTTAATCAGGGTTTGGTATTCGACCATCTATGCATCTAATACCATCTAAACACTAAAAAAAAAATTTGTTGATCTGAAAAACATGGTGATATCATGTGTCCTAGACGACGTATGGTGTTGCACACTCCAAAGAGAGTAACCGTCAAATATTTCAGGCGTGGTTCATCGCAGGTATACATAGTGATCAATTCCTTTTAATTTCAAGCTATTTTTGATGTTCCAACTGACGATTACTCCATCATCTTTACTTTGAAAACTTCCAGTTCGTGATGCTGTAAAGGCCGTATGACTCATGTCTGTAATAAGGGGCTAGTCCACGCTTTGAAGAGTTGCCAGTCGATTATTTTGGGCGAGGTTGAAATAATAGGGAATAATTTATCTGGGCGTTGATGAGAATTCAACCTTCTGCTAACTTCACGTCTCTCGTGTCTTCCATTGTTGATTACAGACAGTCAAAATCTCTCCTCTCCAATTTCAAACAACATGTTCGTGCTTTACTAGAACTCTTTAATTCTTACTCAAGTCAATATTGGCACAGACCAGAACAATGAGGGGGTGGTACCACTTCAACAATAAAGATGAATCATATTGAGAAGAGGAACGGCTGGAATTTCCATTATTTCTGAAGTATTTTGGTAAAAATTTTGGCATGATAAAAGACCTCATGTATTCTGTTGTATTTTGAACACAGCTTCATCAAAAGCCAACTCACTAACGATAGGATTAACAACCAATAATAATGTTTTAAAAAGATCAACGTCCAATATCCAGGGAGCTCAGGACACTTCAGGTAAACTAATAAGGTTCCAATAATTGGGCTATGTAGTACATGTACACGAAAGATATTTTCTGATCGCAGCCCCAACATTAATCCCCTAGCAACTCAATAACTGACCATTGATATTAATTATTTTGAACATACAGAACCGGTTAACATTATATAAAACAGTGGTAGAAACTTTTATTGCAGCTCATCCATGAGTTAGCTGTTTAGGTCGGACTTCCACGAAGGCGTGTGTAGCGGAAACGTTTTTCCGTTATTATGATATATTCAAAGACCGATTTAAAATTTGTTATGTAACTGGAAATATTCATCATCATTATTGCCTTAAAAACTTTCATATTAGAATTTCCTTTGAACCATGAGACATAAAGATACAAAGTTGATATCGAAATAACATAAAAGTAAAAGTTTTGAATGACATTTGTAATTTCATACTCTAATTTGATATCTCAATCAACCCAAATAATGTGACCTTTCACGTCTAACTTGCTGATTCACAATTTTTCAAATATTCATAATGATTCAGTGAAAATGTGTTCGAAAGGTTTGGTTTATCTAACTACATGTATTGTGTAAAAGCATCACACAAAGTTAAATAGTATACAATTGAAATAGGACTTCGATAGATTCAGGGCATTATCAGATTTTGGTTTGACAAACACAAGCTTTACTACATGTCGCTTAACTCTTATACTCCAACAGTTGAACGTAATACTCCATTGAATGTCATTCTCACTCCTGTGATGTCAACGTCATCGAGTTGCAATGTATTGATCTTCTTGTTAATTTCTTTTTCAATTCGGTTGATGTAACAATCAAATTATAACAAAGAAAAAAACTGGCTGTATTTTGATTGAGGGCGTCAAGCAGTTCGTCTTTGTGTCCTAGATTCTAGGTCACGCGACTGATCATTTGTCTTCCAATTGATTGAATAAAACGATCAAAAAATACTTTGGCTACTGGTGCCGATTGTCATTAAGCACAACAACCTTTGTCACTGTACTGTATTGCCTTAGGCTGGCGGATATAACTGAAAGGACTTGGGCAATCTAACGTGTTGGCTACATGTGACAGATGTCCCATTGTTCAAAATAAGAAGAAAATGCATCCCACGTTTGAAAGAAGGACAACATTATCGAAAGTCGATTTTGAGGATAACTGAATGAATATTAAAGAAGGCTTGAACTCGAAGTTCATATACATGTAAATGGATACTTGAGCGAGTTGTAAATTGTTATAAGTCTAATATCCGGCCTACGTCTTGGAGATCTTGCATGTAAGCATAGAAATTACCAATACCTTCTTTAAAAAAGTTTAAGCTGACAAGCGATGCAAGTACTTAATGATGCCTGTGAACAACTTGACATCTATACAATATGATCATAAACAATGATACATGATTGACAATGCATCTTCACCCAAACAGCTGTCCGCCGTACATACAGTCAGAGCGAATATTGACAAAGAAGAGACGAAAAATTGTCCTCGATAAAGTCATTTTCAAAATTTCTGCTTGAATGATTTAGATTTTGATGATCAGCTGCAAAAGTGAATTTGACGTTAAAACGAACAGCAATTTCCCTTCATGTACAACCTCAGCAATTCGAGAAGTACCCTTTGTATCCAATAACGTGAATTTTTAGAAATTAGATAAGTACTATTTGCATACAGTATGGTCAACAACAGTAAAGGTCAGGCATCCACCTTTATTACGTTTTAGAGTATTAGAAGGCAGATATCACACGCCATGTAATGAAAATTATATAGAGTAAGATTGGCATTTCCTTTGAATTAGTCTCATCGTTACACTACACATATTTTCTTACGTTCCTTATCCCACAGACACGCTTTTTGTACACGATATAATTCAAACCAGAAGCGTAACATCGAAACACGATATTAACATTTCTAGGAATTCAGGTCGAATATCGACTTTTTAAACCAATGTGGCTTCACTAAAATTGTGTATTATCCTTGTGTACAGCAGATGCCAGACGAAACATTTCAATCATCTGCTTCCTTAAATGAAGTTTGTCTGCCTGAAAAAGCTAACTGATGTCTAAATATACAATTTGGTGAACAAAATTGAAATTTTCAAAATCAACTTCTTTCTTCCCACTGGTTGGTCTGCTTATTGGGCTAAAATAGAAAAATATCCGCAAATTGTTCCCAATCTAGATGATTACAGGTGAAATATTTGCTAGACTGTGTCAAGAAGGATAAAGCTTTCACAGTTTCATACGAGTAGGAGTTGTCTGTTGGCAACGGTTCGTATAACTTTTATGACCGTTCGGCCAAACCATTGACGGTATACACCAACAGTATTACCCATTGTGACTAAAATGATGTTTTATTTGGCCGAAAAGAAGTTATATTATCAATGAGCACGCCTTGGAGATGAGAATGATACGAGTACCAATAGCATTGTATGTTCAGTTCCATTACAAGTATTGTTTACATAAGTTAGGTGTGGTACCGTCTGTTTGCATCTTTTAGCCACATTTTTTCCATGTTCTTCAGATTTCAATAAAACATTTGGAAATGTCGATGGCAATATGATATGTAAAAAGTCGCAGATGAAAGCATTTGGTATGATGTAGGGCGTGATCTCGATTTCTCTGCAGAAATTTATGAATGGCTTTTAAAGGAGGTACCAAACTGATGAACGGTAATTGAAATGAAATGAGGAATTAAACCCCGATTCGATCTGTACATTCGATGCAGAAGGTGAATTGGACTTCAAAGGATTTTTTATGCTTTACATTTCAATCATGAAACAGAAATGTAAACTTCACTTATAGTAATGAATTTTGTCCGTAGTTACACAATACAAATGAGTTGTGTTTACAAGGACAATGACAGCTTCATACAATGCTGTTTGACCATTTGACCATACAATAGTATGTAATATTAAATAGTTAACATATTTCAGATGCCCCGCAGTCTCTAATCAAGACAAGAGTAGATTGTAAACCAGACAGACCTTAAAGGAAATAAACATTAGCCTATGAAGTAACAGTATTTATTATTGATAGCACTAATTTATTAACCCATAGTGAACTCACGAATGTAAACACATTACTTCAACTATCAACATTCTTAATAATAAACACAAGAAAGGGTTAACAAGACTGATAGGGGCTCGGAGCAAATAGTCGGGGATGGTGCGTATTCGAGAATGATTCACAACTTTCTAGCCATGAAGATTAAAATACCTTGCCCATGCTCGTTCTCATGCAAATTTTGCCGATGGAACATAAGGCAACACGAAAAACAATTTCCAATTCTCAAATTTCGATGAAACTTTACTTGGAAGAACGTTATCAATATCAGCGGAGTACAATCTAAAACTAGTTCAGAATTCATGATTAATGTCTCTTGAGAAATTTGTCTAAAATTTAATATACAATCAAGGTCGTGCTCAATGAACACATGTTGAATCCTACATGTTCTCACAAAGAACACTGGCCGTGTTTTCAATTGATAGAGTATTAATGAAGTCGACAATTATTAGCCACCAGAGTCATTATAAAAATTGATTAACTTTGTCTGTTTCTGTCAATTATTACTTAGGTTGACCCGTGATGTCTTTTACTTCATTATTGAGGCTGAGTCATTCCCGACCCCAAACCACAATCGATACAGTTGGCAATTCCCTTATTCAAATGAAATGAATTAGAATGGAGTTTTACTCCCCCAATTCGAACAAATTTAAGTGGTTTATTCAATTAACGATATTGTAACATCCAATATCATTAGTTTTTTCTTTGATCTTTCCATGTAATATCAAAAGTTTGAGGAGGTGGTTACTAAAACCATATTTTCAGGGAAACAACTTCCAAAAGCCTCCCACTACTCAAGTTTGTCGTGAAGTTTAATTCAAAATATAAAATATGAAAGGAGATTTACTTCCATGGGCAACGCCATGCAGTATGCAATAAGTACAAATTGTTACTAAATCGCCCTGTTGTATACCCTTCATTCTTGATCGTCAAATACGATATCATTTGTTCATTAGATTTCATTAGCTTTAATATCTTCACGGTCAATATAATGAAGTCGCTCTTAAGTTACAGTGGAACAATAGTGAAACTCGACCAACTGGAAAATTTTTAAAAAATTTTTGTGCGTCTATGCTCTTTGAGGTTTAGAAAAGGTAATACAGAAAAATCACTTGAGCGTTGAATCATTTCATTTAAAAACCCTTGATCAAATAAACAAAGAGTCAAAATGATTTTAATGACGCGTTCAGCTTTTTGATCAGAACATGATGGTGGTTGTCTTGCTTTATAGTCCATTCGAAAAGACCCATACATGTTCCCCGAGTAAAGACCTCATCTGGACGTACAATTCCTTGCCTTTTCATTTCAATTCCTTCCTAACTATTTCGTATTGATCAAGAGCTAATTGATATTCACTTGTCAGAATGAGGAAAAACTTCATTTCATATTTATTTTATTTCAAATTATGCCACAACTGTTGAATCATTCAATAGATATGATATTCTACAAATTGCTATTGATTTTGTGGGATGATGTCTAGAGCGGTTCTAACTATTATTTTCAGAATAGCCTGACCTAGTTAGGAAATATTTGACTATATTTGTGGTAAATACTATTGATTTGTGGGGAGATCATTTATTCTAGTAATATTTATCATATATCAAGGATTTCGATTGAGTTTCGTGTAGGCGAAATACTGAGAGGACATGTGCCAGAGACTGGGTAAATTAAAATCCCAGGGCAGTTGAAAAGCAAACCTCCTTTTTGCAAATTGCATGGCACTGCTCTGTACAATTTGTATTGCATCATTAAGCTGTACCCCGATCCAAGATTATCCTAGATGAAGTACCCTTTTAGTTTTTCTTACGGCTTATGCTTTAGTTGTTCATTACCGATTCTTTGCATAAATAGTTCAATAATCAAACAAGTTGTACTGAAGACATATTAATGATTTTCAAAGTTGATGTAGCCGGCTTCTGATTTCATTAGAAACAGTGAAATATTGTAAAATAATTTTAATACCGTAAAAATATCCTGGAATCTTATTTATATTTTGGATCAATTCTACCAGAGCTGTGTTCTGTGTATATGTCATTAACAGCAATTGGGGTGGCCTCTAAATGCAAGTAAGCAGATGTTGTTAAACATGGTAATTATGACTCAAGAAGTCAATAAGTATACAATCAATAAAGGTGTTAAGTATATAACAGTTTAGTCTTTAAATATTGATGTAAAACATTCTTTAACACTAAACTGTTTATTTTCGTTATGTACACCAATAAAATAAACATCTTACAACATAATACTCCGTTTGGTCAATACTTAAGGCTTTTAAATTTGGCATCAATCACAAGTAGTTTAAAAGGGGACATCGTTCTTGGATATGGTGAGTCAACAACCAACCCAACAACACAGAATCATCCAATTTGAACCAATCCAACTACTACCTAGTTTGCGATATCAGCATCCACTGGAAGAGAACGTTAATTTGTCATCTACCAACAACTACCTAGTTTGCGATATCAGCATCCACTGGAAGAGAACATTAATTTGTCATCTACCAACAACTACCTAGTCTGTGATATCAGTTAGCTGGAAGCGAACATTAATTTGTCATCTACCAACAACTACCTAGTCTGTGATATCAGTTAGTTGGAAGCTGATGTTAATTTGTCACCTACCAACAACTACCTAGTCTGGGATATCAGCATCCGTTGGAAGCGAACGTTAATTTGTCACCTACCAACAACTACCTAGTCTGGGATATCAGCATCCGTTGGAAGCGAACGTTAACTGATCATCTACCAACTAACTAACCTTGGATATCTTAAACTACCCAAATTATCCATAAGATCCAGATCCCACTACCACGGTTACCAGCAACTATTTAGTCTGCTATATCAGCTTCTGCTGGACTTGAACTTGTCATCTACAATACATGTCCAATATTCATTGACAATATCAATACATCTATCAAAATGTAGATGTATTGAAGAACTGAGATAGAATGAACCAAAGTTCCATAACAACTTATGTCTACATTGCTACTCAACAATGTGGAATGATGCTTTTTGTCAAATCTTGAAATCATAAATCAAAATTCTGCTATAATGGACTTGATTCCGCGACAGAATACCATGTAAACCAATAATTTACCGGATAATAATACATTAATAGATGACATAAATCATCAGCTTCATTGAAGAAACTCAGCCTTGAGAAAGGACATTATTAATATTGAATCAATACTCAAGGACATGTACGTCACATAAATCACAATTATGTTTGAACTTTGTCCGGAGATATCAGCCACCACTAAGTGACTCAGTCCTGTAATTAAATTGTGAACAGGTGATAGAACTCAATTTAAATGCTATTTTGGTCTCAATATTCCATCCTTCCTATCTGTAATGTATGTATGACGGCGTAGTGCCAGACGGGGTATGCCTTCTCTTTAAGACACCTGATACCACTTGTCATTAAGAAATACAAACTATATGATTGATATACTTCTTCATGTGAAAAGTTCATTAGCTGCAACCAATGTTTAACCAAAATAGTGTTTAAGATTTCGGGTTTCGTTTTGCGGTTCGGGATAGCCTAGTACTTAGATTATTTATTCATTTATCACCCTATAGCCTAGTCCTACATTAAGCAACTACCTTAATTCAGTGAGTGGCCAAATTTGAGCATTCTTTTGACAAGTTTGACTGCATCTCTTTTCTTAGGAAATGGTATATTACTACCGAAATCTTTCCCGAAATAGAAAAACCTAACAGCTTGTTCTTTAATAACATAATTTTCTTATTTCCGCATCGCATACCAACTGATTCATTATGAAGTGTATATAGTTTATTTTACGCATAAGGTTACACTTGAAGACAGACTGGAGGTTTAAAAACGCCACAGGCTTGGATAGAAATGATATTAGCTTATTGGTTTCAGTTTGGTTTTTTCATCTGGTACGAGTTATTAAGACTGCTACCAAGATTATTCCTTATTAACCTTCATTATAACAAGGATGGTGATTCATACGTCTAAAACTAAATAAGTAACAGCTTTTTCAGAACAGTATCTGAGCTCTTAAACGTAATGGTACGTTTGTACAACAAAATCGGAGCTCAATAATTCAATAAGCATGTTTGACCAACGGTAACGACTTTTAACAGTACATAACTACAACAAAGCATTTTAAAAGTTGCCTCGTCCATTTTGAAGGTATTGGAATCACCCCCGTGCTAAGGACTAAGCACAAGAGGTTGAAGGCATTTAGGATGTCATTGTCTGGGTTTAAAAAATTTACCACAAAACTGTGTTCGCTATGTTTTTCTATTCTGGAAATGGTGTAGCGATTCTGGCCTGATAGGATATCTAAACTCAACTCTTTATATCAAATCCTTTGGACTACAAGAAGCTTTTGATTTGCATGATGATGAAGCTCTGTGTAATAATGTAAATAACGATAATATCGTGATGATTTAGTATGATACACTATTCATCCAGGGAATGTTAACTACTGGTTATTTAGTTGGTTGATAAAATCATGGGAAGGTCAATGATCACTTGTACTGGCTATCATTCTAATCATCATTATAATC